TCATTAATTTTTTTTTTATTTGCTAAACTTAAGTTGAATGAGAAGCGTCATACCACAAGTGAATAATATCATTCTTTTATTCAACAAGGTTTTTTTTAACAGTAAATCACAATCGCAACCTAGCCTCGTACTGATCCTCCCAACCCACAACCGATCGATCTCGGTAACGAAACCACATAGAATGAATATGCGGTAATGGACAATCATGAGTCAAATCTAAACGAATGTAGTGTTCTACGGTACCAAGATGGCACATGACAATCTCACGACATGGTCCTCTAGCCGATTATCGTGCAATGAGAGGCAACACTGTGATGCTGAATAAGTCGTGTGCCCACCTTGCGGACCAGAGCCCAACAGAACGACAACCGCATTAAATAGGGTCGCAACGGCGTAGAGGTCCTGCGGAACTTCGAACCAGTGAGCCCGTTCACAAGGGCCCTTGCCCCACCTTACGCGACGGAGTCCGGTGTCGATATCTCTAAAATAGATGTATTCGTACAATTCACGGTGGCTGTCGACCTCCTTCGCAACGTTGTCTCTTTCATTTGCCCAGTACTTCTGGTGACCATACACGTGACTCGCGATAACCCGAAATCCACAGTTACCATCCGCATCCACATTCAGGTAACTCACTATGTAGTCCAACATATGCCAGGGGATATTTTGCCACATTGAAGATTCAAATATATTTGTCGGTCTAAACTCTGCAATATCATAATAATTTCACGTCACAATTTATATAATCATATAAATACTTTAATTAACGCTCAGCCATATTTAAAAAAAAAAAAATGTATGACCTGCTTCCTCTTGTGACTGTTGAGAAGACGAACTTGTCTGTCCACGCGAAGAATCGTACGACTCGATTTCCGACCTCGCGATCTATCGTTGTACTCAAAAGCAGATGGTTTACGCTTAGTTGAATTAGTTTTCTTGGGACAACCTCGCGGGTTATCCTTAACCTCATGTTCTGCATAATCCTGTTGGTCTGGGTAAAGATGACTGTACATGAACTGATTCACGTACCGCATCGTCGCGGGATCGCGGGTTTCAACCTCACTCACAAGCGTCTGAAAGAACTCCGCATCTGACCATGCAGCCTGGCTCGCCTAGCTCTGATGACCAGTCCCTACAAGTATACGATAAAAAAGTCAATGAATTAAACCAAATAATGTACTTTAATTACATAAATTGTAATTGAAAATGAATCAGCAAGTAGAAAATTATAAATAAAACATTAACCTTAAATTACCTGGATCTAACATCTGTAGCGTTCTCCAGAACTGGTGAATCATTCTGAGATCAATAAGAATATTGGAATCAATTGCGGTACGGAACAGACAGGCACAAAGAAGTCCATGAGTGAATTGCAATACACAACCGCAACTAGCGTAAACATCGGCGTCCAAGCCGTGCATCCTCGTAAGCTCAGCGTCCAATAAACTCAGACAGTAATGCGAGACCCTCAGTATCACGCTCGCGAAAAGGATTCCCTTATACCGTGTATTCTTCTTAGATCTCGAGGCCTCAAGCGCCGTCCTGATAATACGTTACATAACGTTAGATTATAATTAATTAATGCAGTAATATAATAACGCATTTAAAAATTGCAGTACGTACTTCATTTCAGTCACTTGATTATCGATGTGCTTATTAATCTTCTGCCAAATTGTATCGAACGCGCCGGTGGATGTGTGAAGCCACTCCTTCAACACAGAGTGGGCACTCTCCACCCTACAGGAAGTTGTGTTTCCAAAATGTGTCACTTGGTTGGTCCAAGCCTTCACAAACTTCTCCTTGTGCCCTAACCATGTGCTCTCCACATATCGTATCACCTCTGGAGACTTTGAATATTTTGCGTGCAGCTCGACAACAGCATCGGTGTAGGCATTGATCGTACTGGCCTCTGCAATCGCCTTCCACGTACTGTGCGTAAAAATCTCCGAGAATTTTTTACTCTTCCCACATATCGTATGACCTCTGGAGACTTTGAATATTTTGCGTGCAATTTGTAGGCTTTGTCTTCCACATCATTGTTGATGTGCCACGTGCAGAGTAAGTGGGCTGATTCAGGGAAATGCCTCTGAATAGGAGTGATTAAACTCAACTCTCTGTCACTGACAACAACATAAGGATATATGTCTTGGCCTATCAGTAGTTTCAACTTCTCTAGAACCTAGTCGTAACTGGCCTCTTTCTCGTCCCTGATGAGCGCATACGCAATTAGGAAGTTCTGGTTGCACGGCGTCATCCCAATCATCTTGACCAACGGCATCTTGTACATGTGCAAATGAGACCAAGAAGACAAAAAATATAATCAAATAAAAGTTAACTTAATTAAACACACTATTTAAGATTCATACTAATAAAGTATTTATAAAGTAACATACCTGTTGGTTTTATACGTGGAATCTATGCCGACATACCAGTGATATGTCCGGAATAGATTGATCGACGCAGGATGACCATGAATATATGCGTCAACGCTTTCGTGTTCGGATCAGATTCTGCATAAACTGTATACTCGCTGCTCACGGCCAAATGCATAAGCTGGGAAGGAACGTCTCTACCGTCGAAACTCTCTTTCCGCAGCTTATCTCTAAAGTTATATACCTGTTACCGATTAGCGTTAATTATAATGTTTATTATAATTTAAAACAAAAAAAATTATATTAATAAATAAAAAAGTATATTAACGCGATTAATTTGATAAAAAAATTATTAACTATCATAATAATAATACATTAGTAAATATAATAAAATTTATTAATTATTACAATAACTTTTACATATAAAAAATTGCTATTTATTATAATTAACTTCAAAAAGTTAATTAAAACATATATTACAAGATATAAATATATATACCTGTCGCACATGAAAGTTGTCTCCCGGATTCTTTTCCTTCAGCGCGGCCATAATTTTTAGATGAGGCGTTGAGGCCGCTCAACTGGCGATGACCCTCAGGATACACAACAAATGTATGGTAATGGTAGCCCTTCTCTTCATTGCTACATCTACAGATCCTCCAGTATGGAGCGCCGGGGCACCTTTTTCACTTTGATCTCAAAATCGCTGCCCCACTTATTCGTTTTTGTCTTTCTGGAATTTTCTCCTGTGCCTCTATAGCGATCGCCTCTATGGCACTTCAAAAGTCTGACTGTTTTCTTTTTGTGTCTCGAAATTACTAATAGGAAACCATTCAGCATTGTCTGGTGTTTTGCAGCTTCAATAGCGTCCTGAGCATTATTAAATAATGCATAGGTATCGAACCCCAGACTGTAATCAACACCATCTCCTCCAAAATCTTCCCATCACTCCTGCTATATAGTACAATATTTATATTTTTAGAACATGTTAAATTAAGATAATTAATTCTAACATGTAACATAATATTTGTAACTCATAACACGATATTATCTAACGTCCAATTTGTAGCATAATCAAGTCTAAAATGTAACATAATAATTTATAACATAATAATATAGTCCAATTTATAACATAATTATTTCAAATATATAACATAATAATTAAAAAAAAAAATTATCCGACCGGCCGTCGCCGCCGGACAGCTTTAAAGCATCCGGCCTGCCGGTTCGGACATAGCCCGTCCGACCGGCCGAACTTTTCGGACAGCTTTTAACCCGTCCAAATTGGCCGGCCGGACGGCTTAAAATTCGTCCGGTTCCGGCGGTCGGACGGGCTAAAAGACGTCCGGTTCCGACGGTGAGACACAAAAATTTTCGTGCCTCCGAATTTGACAATATTTTACTGTACACTTTTCTCTAAAATGTTTAGAAAAAATAAAAAAGATAAAATCATCCAAAGAAGGCGATGACTAATAAAAAGGGCGGTAAATAATACCACCCCAAAAACAATTATTCATCACCTCTTGCCGCTTGGCCGTTACAACTTACAAGAGTGACCGAAGGCAAGGGCAGTTACGTCAGTTCATTAATTTAGTCCACAAGCAGAATTTTATTCCCTCCTTAAAACTAGCCTCTAGCCCCTTCCAAATGCCAACATTAAATCGGTACTGTTCTCCACCCCTCTCTCTCTCACACACAGAGATATACTAAAATAATACATACAACTGTTCATCCTTAACTGTATAGAGAGCCATAATTTCATACACAGCCTTTTGCCGTTTGACTTTTGCGTTATCTAATTTCTTTATATAGCTTCTATAGTTCTATTGAATATTGACGGTGCGTTGCGGGGTTCAGATTTTTGGAGGTCCATTTCCTACTATGGGCCTATCACAGGGGAGGGAAATGGGGAGGGCTTTCATGCCTTTTATGTTGGCGGTGAGTTGCCGGAAAGTATCTGTTCCCGGCAGCTCTGACGCCGGGAATGTGTTTTGGAGGTAACTGTAGCTTCACGGGTTGAAAAATCTTATTTTATTTTTTTTGTTGTTCAGGTACTCTTTGTGGTGGCGGTAGTTAGTGCCGAGCGGTCGGCTACGAGGTTTCTGTTGAATGATAATATCGCCGGAGGGTATGAGTGCTCTTTCGATTGTGGACTATTTAAGATTTTTTGTGGGCAATAAATTAGTGCGTTGTGCATGCTTGTTTTGTGTGCCTGAGTAAAGCTCTTTAATTTAAAGTTTAGATATTTTTTTATTTTTTCTTTCCTTTTTTTGTTTTTGTTTTTTGTTTTCCATTTTGAAGAATCGAGTCATTTTTGTTGAATGGTAAGGGTGTTTGTTGTTTAAATGCTTCGACTGATGTTCTTGATGTAAGTGATTAGAAGCTGTATAAAATAAAGAAGCAAATGACCGATTATCAGAGTTTGATTATCGGATTTACTTAATTATTTTTCTTTCTTCGTATTCCACTGTAGCTTTTGAGAAAGACAGATCTAAATTTGGTTGGCAATGTTCTTTTTGATTGGTAAATGTTTTTTTTATTGTCAGAGAAAGACATTCAGAAGGGTACTGTGCCATGTATGACATCTGTGGGAAGCGCAGTGATGGTAAAGTACTCAATTGCCCTGTTGGTACTCCTGCTGTCAAGGTATGCGCCATCTTCTTCATATGGGTAATATTGTCCTTTATTCATAGTTTATAATAAGTAATTGGTTCTTGTATCCCCAAAAACAAAAAAGAAATATGCAATTGATTATATCTTTAGTAGAGTTGATTAACCAGATAGCTGCTATTCACTAGTATGTGTCTTTGTTTGGGATTCTTATATTTAACTTTTTAATGTTTTATTTTTTTATATTATTTTATTAATTTATTTGTTTTTTGAACTTTCTGCTGGCAGCCAGACGAATTACTATCACAAAAAGTTCAAAGTTTGTGCCCTACAATTACTGGAAATGTATGTTGTACGGCCGAGCAGTTTGATGTTTTACGAACACAAATCCAGCAAGTAAGAAAGCGGATTCTCATAAGCTTGTAATAATTGCCTTTTACATATCCAGTGTTGTGTAATATAGAGGGTCATTGGATTAAAAGATGATGAAATGTAAATTTTAAGAAACAATTTTGCCTAATACAAGGTTTCCCATATGTTTCATTTAGATTCCTAAACAAAAGGACCTTATGTTCTCTTAGTTTACTTGTTGCAGGCCATTCCTTTTGTTGTAGGTTGTCCAGCTTGCTTGAGAAATTTCTTGAATCTGTTCTGTGAGCTCACCTGTTCTCCAAATCAAAGTCAGTTTATTAACGTGACGTCCATTTCCCGGGTGAGTTATTCGAGTCCAGTCATTTTCTTCAATCCTGCTGACTTTGATTCTTTACATATGAGAAAAAAAAAAGGATCTGTTACATTCTTCAAATATCAAAGGAATTAATATGCAACTAAAAGAATCTATTTTGTTACATCTTGAACACGGCTGTTTTATTTTCTTGTGTGACTAGTCCAGGTTGGGAGAAATTCGACTGTTGACGGGATAGATTATTACGTAACTGATGCTTTTGGTAAGAGAATGTTTGAATCCTGCAAAGATGTAAAATTCGGATCCATGAATTCTCGAGCTATAGATTTCATCGGTGCTGGTGCTAAAAATTTTAGTGGTAAGTCCATTTTTTCATTTTTCATTTTTTTTTTCTCCTTGCCTCAAAATCACCTGATCACTAACTTTCCCATTCACCTTCTTGTCCAAACAATGATTTTTTTTTTTATTTATTATTACGGTTCACTGGGCCTTTACTCATTAGTGACTTTGTATGACAGAGTGGTTTGCGTTTATTGGTAGACGAGCTGAGTTAGGCTTACCAGGCTCACCCTATGCGATCAATTTCTTGCCTGTGGCCCCAAAATTATCGGGAATGAGGTCCTTGAATGTGTCCTCGTATTCATGCGGTGATACCTCATTAGGTTGTTCGTGTGGTGATTGTCCTTCAGCACCAGCATGCTCGAGTTCTGAACCTGTTGCACCGCCTAAGCAAGATTCCTGTTCGGTGACAATAGGGTCTCTTAATGTGAGCAAAATTTAATTAGATGTTTAGCTAATTGTTTTTAGGTAAAACTACGATAGCTGCCGTCTTGAGGCTTAGCCAAACGGAAAAGCCTTGTTATCTTTGAAATTTTCTCACCCTTGAGGTGTTTATTCATGTTTAACATAGCCACCCTCCCTCGTGTTGTAGTTTATTTAAAAAAATGAATTATAACAACACACTTTTTTGAGCCTTTAATGCTTGATTTTGAAAATGGAAAATTAATAAAAATGAATAAACGGGCTCTTTGCAGCATGTACTTCTTGGGAGTTTCATTTTGATTAGTTGGAGTTTCATTTTCATTTTTCCCTTTAGTCATCCCTTGTTTCCATGGGACACCCATTTTTTTTAATGCTTGGCAGTGATGTCAGCATCTCAAACTTACGTGCATTTTATGATCTTGTTAAATGCAGGCAAAATGCGTTGAAGTTGCAATGGCAATAGTGTACATTGTAGTTGCCTCTATATTTCTCGGGTGGGGTTTCCTCCACAGAAAAAGGACTAGTCCTACTCCCCAAACAAAACCTATAATTGTTGTTCCAAATGGTACCAATGTTGTCCGTATGAGCAGCCAAAAGAACGATAATATACCTATGCAGGTACATATCAATATCTTTATGTTGTCTTTTTTCAGTGTAATGTTTTCTGGAAATGTTACTGTTAAACTCATCTCTTAATTCTCAGATGTTCGAGGATGTACCTCAAATTAATAACGCTGTGCAGCTCTCAATTTTGCAAGGATATATGTCAAGATTTTATAGGTAACTTAGATACCGTTAAGTTAGTTCATTGCATGTAGCAGCTCTTTATGATTGACTTGTTGACATGGTTGGTGGGATGTTTGTCTTAGGAAATACGGAACGTGGGTGGCCCGAAATCCCATGCTTGTATTATGCTTATCAATTGCTACAGTTGCTGTGCTTTGTCTAGGTCTTATTCGTTTTCAAGTGGAGACAAGACCTGAGAAGGTATGCTAGAACCTCCCCATTATATTCAGTACACAATGAGTTGCAACTATTGCTACTGTCAAATTGCTGATTACTTGCTGAGCATAGTCAACTATTATGAAAACTGATTCTGTTGTATAATTTAAGATCTTTCCAAATTCAGACAAGTTTTTGTATTCTTACCTTTCCAGTTGTGGGTGGGTCCGGGAAGTAGAGCTGCCAAGGAGAAGGAATTTTTTGACAATCATCTTGCCCCATTTTACAGGATTGAGCAGGTAGTTTGGAGTTTTTAGTAGTTGCTTTGCTGGATGATAATGTGTTATGATTCATAATGCTATGGTGAAAATATTTCAGCTCATAATAGGAACAATTCCAGATTCACGTGGAAAAGCTCCAAGCATCTTAACAGATAGCAATATCAAATTACTATTTGATATACAAAAAAGGGTAATTACTTCTATTACTTCCTCGAGATGATGACGAACAGTCATTTTTTCTGGTTTTTTTATGTAAATTGTATGTCATTTTCTTATTCTACTCTGAATGGAGTTGTTGCTTCATAGAAGATTATAATTGTGTTAGGTGGACAGTATCAGAGCAAATAATTCTGGTTCAATGGTATCTCTTACTGACATTTGCTTGAAGCCACTCGGAAAGGATTGTGCCACTCAAAGTGTTCTTCAGGTAATTCGGGATTAACCTGATTATCTTATACTGATTGCATGTATGAAACTCGATTCATAAAGCTTCCTCATATCTGTGCACTAGATGTTTATTCATTTATTTATACTCATTGCATGTATGAAACTCGAATCATAAAGCTTCCTCATATCTGTGTACTAGATGTTTATTCATTTATTGCTGTTCTGCTTATTCATGTAGGCCTATGTACTCCTTCATATCCCCTGTTCTTACTTCTTAGTACTAGATGTTTATTCACTTATTGCTGCTTTTGCTGATTCGCTAGTTCATGGATGGCCTCATAGCCTATGTTCTTTGTTTTTTTTAACAATAATTAATTTATTTATATCTACCAATCCTTTATTTTGATAAAGTATTTCAAGATGGATCCTCAAAATTATGACAGCTTTGGGGGTCTTGATCACATCGAATACTGTTTTCAGGTACTTTTTAGGGTCTGTTAGTTTTTCAGGTACTTTATTCTCTTTTATGAAATAAGTGGATTAACTTGTGATCTGAATTCAAATTTTTAGCACTTTAGTTCAGCAGAAACATGCGCAAGTGCATTTAAAGCACCTCTTGACCCAAGCACTGCAGTTGGTGGTTTTCCCGGAAATAACTATCTCGAGGTACTTTTTATTCTTTGTTGGTTGTTTTTTTTTCCTCATGTGAAATACAAGTGTGTATATTTAACTCAACTGTTCCTGTCGAGCAGGCTTCTGCTTTTGTTGTGACTTATCCCGTAAACAATGAAGTTGACAAAGAAGGGAATGGAACCAAGAGGGCTGAGGCTTGGGAAAAAGCATTCATTCAGCTTGCAAAGGTCTACATTTGTTTTCCAGTCCATTTACTATCTTTATATGGGCTATTGATGTCACCATGAACCCAAGCTTTCATTGTATGATCTGGTCACGGATAAGTTTTTCTTTTGTTAACTACATCCAGATCTATTATAAAAATTAATTCTATTTTTTACCTAATGACTTGAAGTGCTTGGTGGGCATGAAAGAAGATGATAGAGTTGGAAGTAACTTGATTATTCTAGTTTTTGTTTAATACATAATCTAGAACCTAACTATTGCCATACAGAATTTCAGATGTATATCAGACAATAAAGTGTCTTTTGCTCACAATACTCCCAAAATACTTGTGAAGTCCCTATTTGATTCAGCTGCAAACAAGAACTGCAGGCCTGCGATCTTGTCTGAATTTAACTTCTGTCTGAGCGAGACGTTGCTCATGCTTTATGTAGCAAAAATCTTCTATGCTCACTCAGTTCATTCATGCAGGAGGAACTCTTACCCATGGTGCAGTCAAGAAATTTAACACTGGCATTTTCATCAGAAAGCTCTATTGAGGAAGAGTTAAAAAGAGAAAGCACTGCAGATGCTATTACCATCTTGGTAGGGGAATGGATCTCTCTCTCTCTCTCTCTCTCTCTCTCTCTCTCTCTCTCTCTCTGGGCGCTTTGCTTTTCTGTTAATATATATAGAGGAGCAAGAAAATTTTCCTTGTGTATCTATATAACTGAAACGTGTCCATTCATTGTAGTTATGATCCATAATTCTCGATTTTCTTATATTTTCCCAATAAAAGTTATTCATCATTTTCTATTTCAGATAAGCTATCTCGTAATGTTTGCTTACATATCCTTCACACTCGGAGATGCTCCTCGGTTCTCCTCATATTATGTCTCCTCTAAGGTATAATCTGCACACAAGCTGATTTTCTCAGATTATTTAAAAGTTTTTTGTGCTTATTGAGAATGATATTGGGTTGTTTTTGTTCTCCTTCTCTATCACAATTATCCTTTTCTGTTTGGTTATGACAAACATTTTAAAAATTACTTTACAATCTATTGGTAATGCGTCAATATGGTCGCATATTTATTGTTTTCTAACACCTTATCTAGATGGACCTCTTTCTCCATATAAATTTTGTATTGCCACTCCCTTAACATGCCTTCTGCGGCTGGGAATTTGCTCTTTCTCTAGGACAGGTATCTGAGTGTTTCAGGTAAATGGTAAATGAAAAGAAATATTTAAAATTGTTCTTCTGGTCAAATTATTGAGTCTACAGTAAATTGCATAGGCCACTGATAGTTTTCTCGCTGCCTTACTTTCTGTTGTTTTGTTAAGTACTATGGTTATTAATCTCCAGTACTTGAATAAAATATCGATTATGGTTCTCTTTATATTTGTTAACCTGTATGTTTTCTTTAAAAGGTATTGCTTGGGCTATCAGGAGTTACACTTGTCGTGCTCTCTGTACTTGGATCAGTTGGATTTTTCAGTGCAGTTGGAATAAAATCAACCATGATAATAATGGAAGTCATCCCTTTTCTTGTTTTAGCAGTAAGTTTCCTTAAATTTGCTCGAGCAACTTCATATTATTTTTGGACTGACTTGCTATTTTATCCTCTTGTTTGGTTCGTTTTGCACTCACAAATTGCTATGTTAAATATTTAGTAAAATGAAGAATGAAGATTCCACTTTGTACTACTACAAATAGTACTGTATCCAGTTTGAAAAAAAATTAAAAAAAAAAAGAAAAAAATAATCAAAATATGCTCATAATTCATATATATTTATTTGGTGCAACAGTTCAAACCTAGAGTTAGCGAATGCACAAATTTACCGTTGTTTGAATTTGCCAACTTTAAAAGGGCTTACATTTTGTGAAATATGCAGTTTTCTCTGGGTTATTTTATCCATAACTTTCCATGGATATAGGTTGAGAAAAAGTTGATGTAGCTTGGCATGTTAAACAAATAAGAAACTTGCCAATGGGTCTTGTTTACTCATCTGCTCCAACAAGCGTACACTGATATATGACAAATTAATCATCTTTCAATTAGCATTGTTAAGGGTTACTATCATTCAGAATTGAAGAAATCCACAATATCTGATATTTGGAAAGCAAATATTAATCTGAAATGGTAACATTTGTATTTAGGACCGAACCACCTTTACACACTGTTACTTTCATTGAGCATGAATTCATATCTGCCCTTGAAGACTTGATTGGTAATACTTTTCCATGGTTTTCAGGTTGGGGTAGACAACATGTGCATACTAGTACATGCTGTAAAGAGACAGCAGGTAGAATTGCCTATAGAGGGAAGAATTAGCAATGCCCTTGTAGAGGTTGGGCCGTCTATAACACTAGCTAGTCTGTCTGAGGTCTTGGCATTTGCAGTTGGGAGTTTCATACCTATGCCAGCTATCCGCGTCTTTTCCATGTTTGCAGGTACGAGTTTCGAAAACCATGCGATTTTTAGACTTCCAACTAAATGATTATGATCTTAATCTCTGTACCGTGTTTAATTTTGCAGCACTGGCTGTTCTCTTGGATTTTCTTCTACAAGTGACTTCATTTGTTTCCTTGATTGTTTTTGACTTCTTGAGAGCTGAGAATAATAGGGTTGATTGTTGTCCTTGTATAAAGGTGTCTGGTTCGAATGTGGGGATGGATCAAGGTATCTGTTGAAACTTTTGGCAACTGTTTTTGTTCATGTTATCATATTCCTGTTTTAGATGTATGATAAACAAAGTGTTCTTGTGGAATGGTAGGCAGTCATCATCAACAGAAACCTAGCCTGCTGGTCAGATATATGAAGGTAAGAGATAACGATGAAGTGTTTCTTTTTATCTTTTTTAAATAAATTTTATCTATTTTCGAATACCAATTATTTAGGATATTCCTCGAGGACACTGGCAAAAGTATTCTTTAATTATCATAGTAGATTTGTTTCATTCATTCTTTCTTTCTTTCTTTCTTTCTTTCTTGGTCTGTTCATGGTCTTCAATGAACTTTACATATTTTAGTAATGCAAAATTGTCCTAGAGACTTCCATTTAAATTTATTGAACTCCATGTTCTCTCTCTTGTGGTTGCTTTAAGGAAGGTGGTTGGTTCATGAACTATATCTTCAGTTTGCTACGCTTTTGGTTAAGATTTTTGTGTAAGATCTTTCATGTTCTTCACTTACTGTATAGTAAGAGTTGCTTCCGTTGATGTAGGATATTCATGCTTCCATCCTTAGCCTGTGGTTTGTGAAACTGCTGGTTGTCTGTGCTTTTGGTGCATTTACATTGGCGAGCATAGTAAGTTGTTGACTAAAGCTTTTGCTCTTTGCTAATGTCATCAGTCCCATATGTTAGCTGTAATATAATAGTAAGTTGTTGAATCTCTCTAAATTGACTCGTGAAGGCATTATGTACAAGAATCCAACCTGGTTTAGAACAGCAAATTGTTCTTCCTCGAGACTCGTATCTTCAGGTCTCAATAGCTTAATACTTCTGTTGTGCTCAGTATAATTTTTTAACATCCAATCCAAAACTTGATTGCCTTTAATTTTACTTCTTTTTGTCCTGCAGGGCTACTTTAGCAACATATCTGAGTATCTTAGAATTGGTCCCCCACTCTACTTTGTAGTGCAAAACTACAATTTTAGGTATATTTGTTTAAATATTCAAGTGCCATTAATCTTTAATTTCATATTGGTGTAAAAGTAAGCTTCAGTTATATCTCAAATCCAAGTGATATCAGCCTCTACCCATCACTTCTACAAAGAAAAATAGAATAGTGATAAAATCTAAGGACACTTTCGTTGCATGTCAATAGTTCTTAGCTTGTACGGCCAAGAGGAAAAACATTTATTAGGAAATAATTAGAAAAGGAAAAGAAAGAAAAAAAATAAAATGTTCCCATGTTTTTCATAGACTTAATTATGTAACTTGTCACTGGAAAATATGAAAAATACCGTGGCTATAGTTTATGAAATTTTGTTCACTTCTGCAGTAGTTTCAAACTCCAATATTAATTTTAGGGTTCCATAAATTTCTTATCATGCTCATGTTTTTCGTATCCTCAGTTCTGAATCAAGACAAACAAACCAGCTTTGTTCCATCAGCCAGTGTGATTCTAATTCTCTTCTAAATGAGGTAAAATCTTTGTCTTAGGAAATGTTACTTCCAAGATTGCGAATATCAGTTAGTTTTCTTCCTTTTTCTGCTGACTAGAGAGTTTCAAATGAATAAATGATAAATGTCCTGTGAGCTTCTAAGATTTAAATGTTTTAATGAGAATAACTCTTCTTGTTGTTCTTGTCAAGTATTTATCGAGGATAGCAAGATCGTACTGAATCTAGTGGATATATTTGTTTGAAATGTAAATGAGAACCTATTTTGTTCATATTTGAGGAAATCCAATCTCGAATTTTTATTATTTTTCTGATATCACTGACTTGTAACAGCTTGAAGCAAAGCATACATATAATATATTTGTCTCTTCTGGATTGTTCATCAACTATGATGCAATGTACACAATAGTTTCTGAATAAGCATTAGATCTAGTCGTAAAAGTGGGCAGGGTGAGTTTGGATTTATTTAGTCACACACCTGATTTTTTCTTCCACTGTGAGAGATGTTTCTATTTAAGAATGCTTCATATATGTATTTTTCTGTTTGTTTCTCCAGTTGCATTTTATCAACTAAAAATACTGAATAGATAACAAATAGGAATATGATTATTTAATTTATGCACAAGGGACTCCAGTAAAATTGGTAGTTGTACATCTGCAATTTTGTTTGAAATAATTCGAATGCAAAAATTCCTGAATTTTGTGCAGATTGCAAGAGCATCTTTAGTACCAGAGTCGAGTTATATAGCTAAACCTGCTGCTTCATGGCTTGATGATTTTCTTGTTTGGCTGTCTCCTGAAGCTTTTGGGTGTTGTAGGAAATTCACAAATGGAAGCTATTGTCCTCCCGATGATCAGGTCTCTTATAAACATAATGAGGGCATATTTTCTATATGTTATTGCATCTTCAAATACACACATTCTTTATTCCACATTACATTGATGTGAATCATTTCTAGTCTTCAGTTAACTTCCAATTGCAGTTAAAATATCTGCATCTTTCTGGAGTTGCATCTCTCTCTATATATATACACACACACACACACACATGTATATATGTGTGTATATATACATCATGGATTTCCTAGAATTTGACTGAACATTTTTCTCAGCCTCCTTGCTGTTCATCAAGTGATAGTTCTTGTGGACTCAGCCCAGTTTGCCGTGATTGTACTACAGTAAGTTAAACTTAAACCATTTGACTCTTTAATTTCAATTGATATACATACCATTTTATTAAATCTCTTTGCAACTTTGTATAAATTTAGTAAGAAATATTGTAGCAACACGTGTTCATGTACTCCCTAATCAAGTATAGAGCGATCATGGATCAATTATTATTCACTGCAAATGACTTGGTGGAAAATCATAGTGACTAAGATTGGAACTTTATATATTATTTTTTTGTAGTGTTTCCGTCACTCGGAGTTACAAAATGATCGTCCATCAACAGCACAATTCAGGGAAAAGCTGCCATGGTTCCTCAATGCTTTGCCCTCAGCTGATTGTGCTAAAGGTGGAAATGGGGCATATACCACCAATGTCGAGCTCAAAGGTGGAGATTATTTTTGCCACTCCTTAGAAAATACATATTGACTTAACTTACCTGAGACACTCCTAATCCGTTTGCCTTATCTGAAATATTTATAGGGCTTGAGGATGGCATTATTCGAGCATCAGCATTTCGGACCTATCACACCCCTTTAAATAAACAGGTACATTTTTATCTGGAAGTTTTTGTTTCTATATTCTTTTCTCTAGGTATATTCTTCTAGTATTTCATGATTTCATAAATAAGCTCATTTTTTACAAAATCTGTTGTTTACAGGCTGACTTTATCAACTCAATGAGGGCTGCTAGAGATTTTAGCGCGAGGATGTCTGATTCGTTAAAGGTATTTGACCTTGACAACTGAACAAAAGGGTTAGAATTTGGGTATGACGAATTTGAGAATATATATTGACGATTTTATGTTATCTAATTTTCAGATTGACATGTTTCCTTATTCCGTGTTTTATATGTTCTTCGAGCAATACCTTGATATATGGAAGACAGCTCTGATCAACCTCGCAATAGCTATTGGTTAGTTATTTTGTTTGGAGTGATGTTCTTGTAATTATTAGTACACTTTCACTTCTCAATCAATTTCACATTCACCACTTCTGTCCTGAAAATACAGGGGCAGTTTTTGTTGTTTGCTTTGTAATCACATGCAGGTCCGTAATTTACTCTCGCCAATTTAATATTAACCTCTTTTTTTCTCTATCAAAAATAATATCATTTATTCCGTTTCTTTATTTTCATCTCCCTCTATTTATAGTGTTTGGACTTCAGCAATAATCCTTCTTGTTTTGGCAATGATAGTGGTGGATCTTTTGGTACGTTTTTGTTCAAATATTTTCCCTTGATAATCATCTCTAATATATACACTTTGCAGCAAGGTTTGAAGTTCTAACTCACTCTCATTTATGAAATTGCACCTTTTGCAGGGCATAATGGCAATTTTAAACATCCAGTTGAACGCTTTGTCAGTCGTGAACCTTGTGATGTCAGTGGGTATTGCAGTCGAGTTCTGCGTTCACATAACACATGCTTTCTTGGTTAGAATTCTTACTCTGCAAATCAAGATACTATGAGATGTGTAATTTTATGATATGTAACAGCCATTGGATTATTACGTTTGTTATGGCAGGTTGCGGGTGGAGATAGGAATCAACGGATGAAAGAATCTCTAGTAACAGTGGGAGCTTCTGTATTCAGGTTTGATTTTCACTTGTGTCACTTTTTTTTAAAAAGAGACAATTTGCCTGAACTTAGAATAGAACACAAAGAAAGACTCAAAACACTGCCTTAGCCTTGCTAGGTTTCTTGCTCAAATAGAACAATATCTTGATAATAAATTCAACATTCGCAAAATCCGTGTCAGATTTCCAATCAAATGTTCAACTTGCAACAATTATCCTTACTTTTTTGTTTTTCGCCTTTCAGTGGAATCACACTCACGAAGCTAGTTGGGGTGCTCGTTCTATGTTTTTCAAGGACGGAAGTTTTTGTGGTATCTATCTAACTTTTTGCAGACCGTGATAAGCAATTCGAGTAGAGAGCCATTTTTTTTTTTTTTGGTTCTCTAATTGTGATATTGGTTTCTGGTTTTGCAGGTGTACTATTTCAAAATGTATCTTGCTTTGGTTCTTCTGGGCTTCTTGCATGGCCTAGTCTTCTTACCTGTAAGACCCCTTTATATGCTCCACATCTTCTTATTTGATGTTTCTTGTTTGACCATTTTTGTTATCTGTACAACCCTCAACTTTATTCTATAAATTACACAATTTTATTTGTTACTAAAATTCAAATTACTGAACTCAATATTTTGTCATGTGGTTTCATTAATTCTTCCGAGTGGTTAACTAGTTTGTTGGGTGTTGTAGGTGATATTGAGCATGTTTGGGCCACCATCAAGATGCGTGCTAATTGAGAAGCAAGAAGATCGACCATCCACGTCATCACAATTTTAACTTAAAAGTTGATGTATTAATGGTGTTTTTTAGTTTTTCATTTTTTTTGGTATTTTGATGGTGATGGTGTTTGTCCAGTTGTGAAGCTGACTTACATTACACGGGAACATAAGAGAAAACATACAATTCATCAATTGCGGTCTGAACTACAGAATACTTTCATTTTTATTCTGTATCCACTTAAAGAAAAATTTTATACAAACTCTTATAAAATAACTTCTGGTACTGTCTTTAGAACAACACCTGTATTGAAAAAAATGTTTCTATTTACATATCAAATACTTTATTGTAAAATTATAGTATTATTTATATTTAAAATGTTATTTTTCACTTATACGATTTTTCGGTTTTATATTATAATAAATTTTTTTAATTCATATGTAGTGCATTTATAGATGTCTTTTTGGATTGATATATAATCTAGTTAGTTTTTAATTAGTATTAAACACGACTTAATTTTTTAATAAAAAAATAAATTTATTTATTTGATATACTATATACGAAATTTGATATCAAATAAAAAATTATTTACTTTTAATTATATTTATGATTTAAGTTAATCAGGTGTTTTATAATTTTAAAAGTCACAATTATTTATAATTTTAAGTTAATCAGGTGTTTTATTGTACATACATAAATGGAAGTTTTTATTATACATTTTAACCCATTCTTACGAATTTAGATTATTATTTATATTTAAAATGAAAATTATCATTTGATAACATTTTTAACTAATATTATATAATAAATTTAATAAATAAATTTATTTAATTGATAAATAATTTATTATTTTTTAATTAATATTGATATAATTTAATTTTTATCATAAAGGTAAATATATATTACTTATATATGTAATGTGTATGTCAAATCGAAGCTCATGAGGAAATCAATTAGATATATTATATATAAAACAAATATGAAAGTAACTTTTAAAATATATTTGTAATTTAAGTTGGTCATCTGTTTTATAATATTAAAAGTTTTAATCGACATATAGAAGTCCAGATTTACTTGTACTTCTCCAAACACACGAGATCATGAAACACCGAAATTCGACAAATAGGATTGAAGCACTAGAATTCAACAAATTTCGACAACATTACGAAGAACTAGCAATCGACATGTACGATTAAGCATTCTGCATTAATATGTGGTGATATCTGGTATTGTCCTTGTTTGACTATTATAACCTATGACAAATTGTATCTGATAGCATATTGTAACCAACATCTAATTTGATTATTAGGGATATTTGTGATTTTTAAATAATTATTTAGTAAATATTAATTTATAATGTCATTATGATATATTATTATTCTACATATCGTATTTTCTCAAAACTCTCCTATATTGAGTTTTTTCGACTAAATCAAACCTCTAAATGAAGTTCACCCCGCTAATTTTACATCAGTCCACTAGTCCACTAATATCCAGACAAATAAGTTATTTGGTTAAATTGCTAGGTTACATCAAGTACATTTTCCACCCCAAATTTGAGATAATTTTAGAGTGGCTAATGAGTTTATGCGCTAAGAATTCAACACCACCACCAACAGTTGGAGACCAAGGAAAGCACATAATCTGCAACAATTAAATTAATACATCAAAGTACACTCATAAACACATTAGCTCCATATCAACACATAAACACCTTAGCCTTGGAAAAGTTATCCCTTAGCTTACCAATTTGATCTCCAGTTTTAGTGCGGCCATTAATAACCACCTTTTCTAGCGAAACGGCACTCTCAAGCACATATAGGGACAATTCGATGTCGACTTCCGTGCCTTCAAAACCAATTATTTCAAACACTTTGAGGCAATCGTGTCGTCATTCTCCTATGTTTGGTCGTCGTATTGATCTTGCTTTAGAACACTGGGTTTAAGCTGTTCATAGGAAACAGAAGAAATAAATAAATGCACTCATTCGCTGAAAAATTTTATGCATCTATATCAAATATAATGGACAATATGGCACCCTCCTCTCCCACGACCCACATACACACACAAGTTGTGCACACAAAATATCTCGTGAAAAAACGCAAACAAACAGTCTCACATAGTCACACGAATAAAACAAAATTATACCCACATGATTAATCAGTCATGAAAGTAACAACTCATGGACTGGAGATTATACCATAAAAACCCAATAATATATATATATTAAATGAGTGAATTTGAAATGCAGAAAAGTCCAAATGCATTCATTATAATAACTTGGGATTTCCAAAACCCTCAATCCAAACACATTCTTATGCTAAATCAGGGCTCCCACTATTCCCCATCTCATCTCCTCATAGACACAGATTTCGGATCAAATGTATTTACTAGGAAAGAAAATGGTACACATCTTAATCCTTGATTTTTCATAAAACATAAAACACTCAACATCTAATGATTATTACTTGGATAACTAACCTTGAACACAGCTTCACAAAGCATTGGTTAAGCATACATCAATGGGACAAAGTAACGGATGCTCCAACAACCAACTCCTTTAACTTCAATTGCTAACTTCTTGAGCCTAGGTAAATTTGGGAATTCCATCTCTTCAATCTCCTAATTGAACGCATCACAAAAAAATAAATAAATAAATAAAAGAATTTAGGATAGTTAAGAGAAAACACTATGCATCCCAAGTATGGGATGCACCAACATAGGGCATGGATAAAGGGGGTCATAAAAGATAACAATTTCCTAATGTGTTGTGCAGATAGACAGGCAGAGAAGATATCATTATCAGGCTAAATGTGAAGAGAGTTCACTTAAGGTGTGAGTAACCCAACTCGGCTAAGAGGTCCTGGAATTAATAATCTAACGTGAGATCATAACATCGCCGTAACTGTACATCATTGCTAGCTAAAATCTCTCATAGGAAAAACTGTATCCACTAAACTTGCAATAACAATTTTCAAAAAAAGGAAGAGCGAAACGAAAACGAATGGTAAGCTGTTTTAGAAGCAAAGAAAAATTGATAACTTAAAATATAAAGCCAATACCACCAAAGAAACCACAAACAAGGAAGAGTGCAGTCCAACAACAAAGTAAACTAAGGACCATATAGACATCCACAGCAGATACCATTCAAACAAATGTAAAAAACGCAACACTCAAACAAAGAAAGATGCTATAAATAAAATGAGCTCTAATTAAATTTCCTCTTAACCGCCGGACCTGTGACTGGACCAACGGAGCTCTTAATGTAGGGGAAAACATAGGCAACCCGTTCAACAGCATGGATTCCGAGATTCTCCAAGTCTCTGGTTGCACAATCGTAAAGCATCAAGTTACCTTTGGAGTCCTGAAAAAACAAATTTTCGTTCTTGTAGAGTCCCAACACCAAACGAGGAGCAGCAGCTGCAGGCATATCGAACGTCGACGCAAGGAACCAATTACCCTCATTCTTCCACGCCCAAATCTCAAAAGTAAGACAATCGTCCTCTTCAGACTCGGAATCGCAGCAGATAACAGCCAGTGACCCATGAAACTCGACAACCGCAACACGCAGCAACTTCTTCGTCTTCTCCTCCTTGGGTAAACGGATAAGATCAGCACAAAACATCTCGTTAGAAAAGTCAAATGACATAATAGCAAAACCACCACCAGCCCTAAGAGCCTTAACCAACCAATAGTAAAAACCGTTAACGCATATTGACAGGCTTGATTCAGTTATCACGTTACTATCATAAGGATACGGAATCGCCTTCCAAGAACCGGTTCTGAGCGACAACACCTCAGCGTATAGTTCCTTGATGGCAAAAAAGTCTTCATCCTCATCCATCCAACATCTGACCGCCTTATAGTCACCGGATAAAGGATCAAACCCAAAGCCGCTGAGCCACAAGTCGCTCATAGTTGGGACAGCCGAGGGGTAACAGCCGACGAGCCTCGATGCCGCCATGTCCCACACAAGGTCGTATGGATGACGATTTTGTCCGAGCACCCAGATGTAGGAGTCGCAACTTCCGATAACGGGGTACCTGGAAAACTCATAAAGGCGAACGTAGTTTTCAACTCTGATTAAAGACAACAAGTTGTGAGGAAGATCATCATCGTCGTCCGGCACTAGCCTGAAAGAATTGTTTTTGTTGTTTTCGGTTGTTATTACAGCGTGATCGAGGTTTCCGTTGCGAACATACCTGACGAGGAACATCTGATTGCTTGTCGAATCTCGGCGTCTAGCATTAGCGGACTGGATCGGCTTCGAATCGCCGTTGGCAGGTGGATTGGTACCGTAGGGAAGGCGTTGGAAAACGCTAATCCGCCTTGTCTTTCTCGAGGATTTGGCGCTAATACGCCTTCTCTTTCTCGAGGATTTGATGCTAATATGCCTTCTCTTTCTTGAGGATTTGGTGGTGTTTAAGAGGGATCTCATGGCTCTCTTAGCTTAACAAGAAGAAGGAAAACGAATCGTGATATACGAAACCCTAATTTTTTCTCTCAACAGGAATCGACAAAGGACTTATCTGTGAGTTGGGGTATTTAAACAACTATATCGTAATGACAAAGATTTCTAGTTTCAACCTAGTACAACTCCAAAAAGGGAAATCGAGTTTTTTTTTTTTTCCTCCTAAAAAATGTCATGGTAATAACATATTTTTCCTCGTTTTTGAATAAATATAGACACTATTACTATTATATAGGTAAACTGATATAGAACAATTAAAATAAACATTTACAAATATGAGCAAATTAAAATTAAAAAATATAATTTAAATACTTAAGAAAAAAAGGATAAAAATGACTCAATTTCAAACCGCATGCACTTAATTTCAAACTAGGTCTACGTATTGTTTGTTTTTGTTAATTGGCAAAACAAATTTCAATTATTCATTTCTTTGCAAAATAAGTCCGACAGGATTAGAGTGACGTGCAAGATAAATCACTTTTTGTGAAGTTACAAATAGGCACAATAATCATTAATTTTCATTTCAATAACAAATTAATTATTTTTAAATCAAAAAAATGTACAATTTCTTCGCAATATAAACGGGTACAACAAATTCTTAGACTACATTTATCAACTCTCACTCCAACTCAACCTAATAATTAAAAACTAGTACAAATCTCGTAGAATAGATATTCATTAATATTTATAAATTAAAAATATTAATTAAATAATATTTATAAATTAAATATATGGAATCAATATGTAATATACTTTACCTATATTAGTTTATTTAAAATGTTATACAAAATTTAAATCGTGCATACTTACATAAAAACATGGTTATTTAATATTATTACTCAACCCGTATGGTGCACATAACTGATAATAAATTATATTATATTCATTTTAAAATAAGTGTCATTTTAAAATTTTATTCACAAATTCTATTTGAATACAATGTGGTTACATAAAATAATTATTTTGGCAAAAGTTTATCATATATTTAAAAATCTATGTGAATCATAAGTAAATATTGAAATTTATTCATTAATTAAATAAATTTATTTTTGTATAAATTATAAAAAAAATAATAAGTAGCTCGTAATTTATTAAACTATAAATAATTGATTATTCTATTTACATCCAAGTTAATAAGGCAAAATTGTAATTTCTGCCCTGTAACTCAGGGCCTGTGGCAAAACAGGACAACTTCTTTTCATTTTTGCAAAAATACCCTGAAACTTGTTAAAACGTGGAACCCGTGCCCAATTTTTGATCTGGTAACCTAAAATGACCGGTAAGTGTTGACTCGATATTTTTTAGCCGACGTGGATGCTTGCGTGTCTGGAACCTCAATATAATCGACATAACACTCATTTTCAGCCCCAAATCAAATCCTTAAAAACCTAAATCGACTCAGAAACCCTAACATTTTCCTTTTCAATCGATCGAAATTGATGTCTGAGATTACTGGAAATGTCGATTGTCCTTGCGGGTATAGAGTCGTGAGTCAAACTTCATGGAAGTATCCCAATTGTGGAAGAAGATTTTTCTCCTGTTCTAACTGGAATGTAGTAAGTTTCGATTTTTTTCCCCACTTGTTCTAACTTTTCTCAATTTTTCTGTTCAAGATGTTATTTTTATGGCTTTGACAGGGGAAAGGATGTAACTACTTTGATTGGGCTGAGCCACCTATGTGTCATCGGTCTCAACAAATTATCCCAGGCTTACTGAACAGAGTGAATGAAAAAAGAAATGAAATCAAAATGATGCAAGTGGAAATTGAGAAGATGCAAGTCGAAATTACTAAGCTTTCTAATTTGATCGAAAAAAACAAGATTCTGAAAGCACAAGTCTACAATTTGAAAAAAGCGAAGAAAAGGTCAAAAATGTATTGTGTATTGTTGTTGGTACTTCTTATTTTCACTTTGTTGTTCTGCACTGGGGATAGAATGCCCCAAGGGACATGCATGAAAATGTTGGTTTGATGTGTAATGCTAGTAGTTGTAGTACTTATTTTAGGGTGTAATGGCTGTAGTACTGATTAAAGTTATGTTGGTTTGATGTGTACTACTTATTTTAGAGACATGCACTGTAATGGTTTGATGTGTGATGTTGAGTTTTGGATATCTTAAATTATTGTAAGAGATATTGAACTAATGTATTCATGTGTTTCAAGTTTAATGGAATGTGAAGGCTCTGTTGAATTTAACTTGTGTATTGTTATGTTTGTGTTTGATGTGTACTACTAAATTTTAAACCTATTGTAATGATGCTGTCACAATTACTTAACCATGTAAATAAATACACAAGAACATTTTAAAAAGCAATAATTCTCATTCCCATTCATTGCCAAATACAAAAAGTTCAAAAGATACCAGTTATTGGCAAAACAAAGAGTTCAAAACAAAAACCAACAATTGTCAATACAAAGACTTCACAAACACCAAAACCAGCTACTGCCAACAAAATCCACAATCTAAATCCACAATAAACACCAACAAGATCTGCCATTAAGTTCTCAAAAACAACAACCTGCTATTGCCAACCATCTATTACCAACAAAATCCAAAACCTAAACATCAACATAAAACTACACAGGATCATTTTTTTGCCTTGTCTTGCCGGTTGAGTACCATGAATTTCTTGCCCTGGTCGACCACTACTACTGAAGCTGCAGAGACTGATGTTATGCTACTTCCTGCAGAGAATAATGGTCTTTCTCCAGTGAAAGCTGCAGGCCCTCTGATAATAGGTCCATGTGTAGCTCTTGATGGTTGTGGCATGTTGGTACCCATTAGTTGATCATACATTGATGGGCCTGGCACATGTAGCTGTGGAGTTGGCATAAACCGAGTCTGGGATTGTTGAGTGGGGATCTCTTGTGTGAATACTGTTGGGTTCAAGGAGCTTGCTTGTTGGTTGAGGGAGTTGTTAACACCTACCTGCTGAAGTAACAAATTACCAAGTTATTAAAATTTTATGATTATTTTCGATTAAAACAATATTGAAGACACTTACAGTCATTGAGGTCCTTTTCCTTTTTCCACATGTAGCTGAATTATGTCCTGAAGTGCCACATTTCATGCAATTGAGAGATGTTTGCTGCCTCCTCATTTTGGTAAGATTTTTTGCTCTGAGCTTTGTTTTGTGTTTAGAAGAAGGCTCATCTGCCTCTCTTCTCCTTGCCTTTGGTGGTCTTCCTGCACCTCTTCCAAAGTTTGGTGGCATTGGGGGTACAAAATTCTGAGTGCCCCACAGAGCAACACCATTGATTGAATATATGGTGTGTTGGTATGCATTTAAGTACTTTTCAACCGTGTAACACTCAGACACAAAGTCCTCAATAGAACCCTTCTGATAAAAAAACAACACTAAGTGCATGGTTGCAAGGTATACCTGACAATGACCATGATCTGCATGTACAAGATTTGTCAATCAAATTCACACAGAATTGAGCACCATTGCTGCATCTGACTTCAAAGTGCCAATCATCTGCTTTCACTGGATAACAGTCAGCCACACCATTTGTATGCTTCTCAATAATCTCTAATATTCTAGGACATAGAATCCCCTTCCATTTTCTTGCTCTATCCCTATTTTTTTGCACTCTTTCCATCAAATAACCTCTGAGCCATTCACACATTGTTATTATTGGATCCTCTCTAGCTTCCAATATATTGGAATTGAAGGTCTCACAACAATTGTTCAGCAACATATCACACTTCACATCTTCCTTAAAATGGGACCTTGACCACTGCTCTGGTGGTTTATCAGCTAACCACTCCCATGCAGCTTCATTCAAGTCCCTCGGCTGGGACATTTTTTTGGCTAAACTCAGCCTTAGTTGTTGACATGGCAGCACTCCACAATGCATTTTTGAAAGCTAGCCCTCTAAACCCAGCATTTTGGAAATTATTGCACAAGTGTCTAACACAATGCCTATGTTCAGCTAAAGGAAATACATCTGCAACTGCTTGAATAAGTCCTTTCTGTTTGTCAGACATGATAATGAAGCCATTGCCCAACCCTATACACAAATCACTCTTCAGAATTGTCAAAACCAGCCCAATGTTTCAGTGGTCTCACCACTCACAACAGCAAATGAGATAGTAAACAAATTGTTATTAGGGTCTACACTCACTACTGTTAGTAAGATACCTTTGTGTGGACCCTTTAGGTGACATCCATCTATTCCTATTATGTGTCTGCAGCCTGCCAAAAACCCTTTTTTCAATGCATCAAAGCAGATGTACAACCTATTAAACCTATTATCCCCATTAACATCATCACCTGTTCCCAAAATAACAGTGGATCCAGGGTTAGATCTTCTCAACTCCTCAGTATAATCCCACAGTTTAGAATATTGCTCATCTGAAGAACCCTGCAAAATTTTAAGAGCTCTTCTCTTCACTCTATAAGCTTGGTCTCTAGAAACACTGCATCTAAGTTGCTCCACAGTATCCTTTCTCCACCCTTTGACACTTCTGTTGGGATCAGACTTAAACTGTGACAAATACTTCTCAGTGAGCCAATTAGTCCTCACATTCTTAACTTTGAATGTAGTGGGACATGTGTGATGCTCATGAATTTCTTTAATAAAGAAACTCCTTCTTAACTTTTAAAAGATGCAACTTGAAGGGACAACTTTCCTCATAACACCTCACATACACTCTGCATGGATCACTTTTAGTGATCCTGACACTCCTCTTACAAGCCACACCATAAGATTGCACAGCCTTCTTGAATTCATTCCTGCTACTAAATAACATACCCAATTTAAAAATTGGGTCATAGACAGTAGCAGGATTAAAGATGGGTATGCTCTCTTCTTCTCCATCATCTGCTTCATTGAACTGAGGCTCATTATGAACTACATCTTCTTCATTGAAATCACTATCATCTGCGTCTGGGATTTCATCAACAAACCTATCAAATATCCTATCATCATCACTACATTCTTCTTCCATTCCATAATCACTGTCATGCAAATCACCAGACACCTCATCACCTATTTCTCCCTCATTTTGAGTCATTTCATCAGTCTCATCATCAGTCATTTCATTAACAAAGGCATCCACAAAGCCATCCACAGAATCTTCCCCACCCATAACTTCTTTTTCACCCTCATCTCCTTTTTCGACAACAACATCACACTTCACATCAACATATATGTCTATCTGTTTTAGACCAACATGTTTAATAAACCAAGACCTCACTAATTCATCAGTGTTTAATGCCCTAAAACAATTATTCAGCAGCATGTAATGCATCCTATCAGACCCTTGTGGTACTACATAATCACTTAACCCCTTATGTATAGCCATGTCCATACTTTTGACATCCACATAATCAAATGATATTTGAGACCCACCTCTATAGATTGCAAAGGGGTTGTGAAGAAACTTACCCCCATAATGTAGGTCAGCAGTGAGCTGGTAGGATCCACGTTCTGTAACACAAAATAAAGTAACAAAATGCAATTAGAATAACACACAAACAGGGAGCACATTCATTTCAAAATGATAAGTCTTCTTCAGACGTTTCTTCAAACAAATAACCCCAGAATATACATATATATACATAATCTAAAAGAGATAGACTACATATTTCGAAAATAAAAACCGCACATTTACAATTTTTCATTAAAAATAACACACACACACACTTACCGTAAGAAGGTGGATCGGTATCTGGTTTCCTCTTGGTTGGAGAATACAACATCTCCAAGTGAGTACTAATTTGACTTTGCTATTTCGGGTTGAATGAAGAATTTCGCAATTTAGGGTTTCTGAGTCAATTTAGGTTTTTAAAGATTTGATTTGGGGCTGAAAATGAGTGTTATGTCGATTATATTGAGGTTCCAGACACGCGAGCATCAACGTCGGCTAAAAAATATCGAGTCAGCACTTACCGGTCATTTTAGGTTACCAGATAAAAAATTGGGCACGGGTTCCACGTTTTAACAAGTTTCAGGATATTTTGGCAAAAATGAAAAGAAGTTGTCCTGTTTTGCCACAGGCCCTGAGTTACAGGGCAGAAATTACAATTTTGCCAAGTTAATAATGACACGTAAGTTATGAATAATTACGTATTTGCATTTTAAATATGGAACACAATTTTGGACTACACAATAAATCTCCTTATATATTTATATATACTAATCTTGAAATTTTCTAGATTTGTTGTCGGTTATCTTTGTCGGTCAAATTATCAACTAATTCTCTAAAATTAAATTATAAATTTTAAATTTTATTAATAAATATTTGTTCAAAGATCTTTCTAATTTTCAAGAGAAATACTTACCAATTTCCTAAATTATCATCAATATCTTATGTCAAGATATATGGGAATATGCTAAAATTTGAGAATTATATCACCTTAATTTAATAATAAATCAACCTAAATTTCGACTTTCATACTCATACTAAATCAAATTCATACTACTTATTTTATTTTTACAATTTTCAAGTACACTTCTATCCATACCAAATGAATTTCATACCATTTAAATTCGTACATTTCATACCAAAATAAAATCGCTATCTTTTTATTCATTATAGGCATAATGGCGGAAAAATACACGACATTTAGACTACACACTATAATAACCCCTCACAACCCAACCCAATCCAACTTTTTAATATAATACTCATTTCTCTCTCCTCCACCTATACAACCCACAACCCAATTTTATTTTTACTCACATCAATGACACCATCTCAACCCAACCCAACTCATCTTAATATTTTCTTTTTGTTTTATTTTAATTAAATATTATCTATAATAATTTGTATTAAATTTAAAATTCTACACAAATACATATTAAAATATTTTATATTTTAATAATCGCAATTATAATTTTAAAATATTATCGTCCACATAAAGGTTGATTTTTTTTCACTCAATAACAAAATAGATATTACAAGATTTGGAATATAAAATTAAAAAAGATAAACTCAGATATAGATAGATGCATGAAATACATATTACTACTACGAAAGAAGTGCAAATTACATATCTAATTATAATTTCTAAATTTTTGCCATATATGCTCAATCAAGTCATTTTGAAGAGCACGATGAGCTTGTCTATTACGAAGTTGATCCCTATTAATCATATACTGGGACAGACTTGAAATGTGTTGTGTAGATTGGGAAATTTTACTGAGCTTGTCTATTACGAAGCACGATGAGATTGGGAAATTTTACCTTTTCCTTTCTTCTTTGCCTTATCTCTGCCAATAGGACGGGAAATATTAGAATTTCCAGTAGATGGAGTTTCTGCTCTGGAAGGCATCGAATGCTCCACATCTTCAGAAGTCTTTGATCTTTTGGAGCTTCCACGGCTTTCTTCATCATCACATTCTTCATTTTCAGGACGAAAACGTGTTCTATCATGGTATGATGTTAACGCCCACTTTGGATGTTTACACATAACTTCATTGAACACAGTCAAGTCCATAAACTTGCTACCGCCTGCTTCGTAAATTGTTTGAGCTTCCTTTTCAACATCATTCTCGTTCATTCCGCTCCTTCTCCGAGAACATGCTTCCTGGTAAGCAGCCACCTATTTGTTTGCGTTTTCATTCAGTCGTTTCCAACGACCTTTCAGTGATTGGATGTTTCTTTCACTTAGCTCATCTGGCTTTTCTGCTTGATGTTCATGATATAGTTTATGGACACGTGCCCATAGTGCGCCTCTGATGGGTCTACTTCTGGATCCGGAGTAAACCGGTGGTTGTGAGTTCAGATCTGCTTGAACCGCCTTGAAACCGTCTCTAGACCGCAAGAATATCTGCAAAAACTCAACGCCAGAGGTGTTTCCGGCGTAGAGCCTCCGATGCTCAAGTCAGTATCAAAGGGATGAAGAAGGGCTGCGCAGCAGCTATAGGGAAAGTGAGAATGAATGAGAGTTAGGGTTTAGGGTTACCTCATCTCCTTTATATAGGAGTGAATACTTACGCAGAGTACCCAAAATACCCCAATCGGTGGACCTAGAAGGTCCAAAATGCCCCGGTCGATTCGTCTCCCCTTAGTGCTGAGTCACCGCTAGATTCCTTCTTATCCTTCATAATAGGTAGGATTTCAAGTGTTACAAGTGTGATGAGTCGTCGTCATATCTTTGTTACTCGAGGTATGTGGAGTCGACTTCGAGATCTAAGAAGTCGACTCGTGGGTATATGCGAGTTCGGAGGCTACGCTTGACTAGTTCTTTGAGGCGAAGTCATCTTCAGAGAGTCGTCTTAATTCAGTCGACTTCTTGGGGTCGACTTAGAATATCCAGATGAACGGGAGCTGTACTCTCGTTGTTCCTCTTCTTACTGATGTCGATTAGTGAGAGTCGATAGGTCAAGGTCGACTCGAGGGAGTCGACTAGACCCATCTCTGCTTCTTGATTGCTCTTAGTAAAATCTTCCTTAGGGAAAGTCGATTTGGGCATGTCGGCTGAATCATGTCGACACGCGAGTAATGCGAGTGGTTTGTTGGTTAAGGAGCTTCTGGACCGGGCTATACTTATGTGGCTATATCATCTAGTCCCCCCCCAAAAATTACTCTAAGCAGTCGACTGCTTAAGAGTAAATTTGGTGAAGTATAATTGTCGCTTTTTCATCAACCTCACTCGTATTGACTTCTTCGACAACTCGTCTTGTCGATCGATTAGGGCGCGTTCCCTCCTCATGATTGCTCTTTCGGATAAGTCTGACACTCTGACAGGCCCATTTCAAATTTCAAACTTTTGAAAACCCTAAAGTGACGCGCGTCATCTCCTTCGCCGCCTCTTCGAATTCCGTGCCTCATCAGGATCGTTGGCTACTTTGATGATCCAACGGTCCACACCCATCTTTTCCTTATATAAATACGCTTACCCTTCTCAAAGAATTACTTTTCACACTCTTGAACTTCCTGCTTTCTCCAGCTTCTTCAGATTCTCCGGCAATTTTCGCACTTCGGCTTCCCCGGCGTTCCCCGCTTCCGGCAACTTCAAGTTCGTTCAAAGCTTCCATCCGCTAAACCACCATGTGTAAGTTTGCTATTTTTTCTTATCCCTCTTTTTTTCTGTCGGTTTCTCTTTTTCTGGTTTTCTCTGGATTCCCAGAATTTTTGAAGTTCATGCTGTGTTCTTCATACTTTTCACGAATTTCTTATGGATTTCACACTTAGATCTCCTTACGCGTACAATCTGCTAAGAGCTTGTTGTTTTTACCATCGGTCGATTGCCGATATGCAGTCGACTTTCCACCTGTCTTTGAGTCGGCTCTCGTCGACTTAGTGGTCTTCTTTCTTCAATTTCTCTCCTCGAGTCGACTAAGGTCGACTTATTGGTTTATTTAAGTCGACATATAGATAGTGATTTCCCCTTTCTTGTCCTTTCTTCCTCTGTCGATTATCGCGAGTTGCCCTGATTCGATCTTGTAGGCCCTTACTCGTGATTTTACTAACTTCGGCTTTCTCCTCCTTTTTCTTTCTTTAGCTTCCAACTCGTCTCCTCTCTCTGGCTCCCTCGGTCAGCAGATCAACGATTATACTTGTCAAGCCGACGAGGGTTCTAGCTCTGACTGTGTCGAGATAACCGGCTATAAGATGGTTTCACTGCCTTCCCATTCTCCTCCTCTCGCCACTGCCTCTTCTGCCGACTGGGAGCAGTACGACGAAGCACTCTTGGAGGGTGGCTTGGTCGATCTCGTTAAAAGCCCTCCTCGAGGGAATCTTCCTCGCCTCGATATCATTCCTCGAGGTATTCCTCTTAGGGTTTTAGATATCCCTGTATATAGAACGAGCCCTGTATCTGTACCAATAATTGCTCCCCTTCTCGACTTTCAAAATGTTGTATCGATAGCTTGTCCCTTAGCTAGGTTAGCTGTTCTAAATCCTTTTTGTTATGCCCCTGCAGCCGAGGTCGAGGGCTTCAGGAAGTTTAGCGGGCTTCCTTCCGACTGGGAGTTAGTCGCCCCAGGTCCCAATGACGATTTCGCTCATCCTCCTCCTGGTTGCCATACATTCTTTGTGGACCAAGTCGTCTTCGGCCTTCGCTTCCCTATCCAAGACGAACTCTTGTT